TACATGACAGGCTATGAGAGACTTCTGGGCGATTTTCAACCTGACTGAAATCGCCCAAAAAACGGGCGGGGCCATTTGAAGCACGACTTTAGCCTGATTTGACATTTAGTGGCTGGCAGATCAGACGTGAACACTGATAACTGCTGTTGCCGTGATATAATTTTTTATAAATTTATAAAAAAAATATATAATTTTTTTTTATTTATTTTTTTATAATTGATTAGAAAAAAAATCCCTTCCTTTTCCCGTTTGGCAGTGCGTCGCCCATATCGCCCTATTGAACAGGCCGTCCCTGAGTACAAGGTAAGTAATTGCTGTCCTGATATCCAGAAGCTCTTTTCGGTCATAAGAGAAACATTATGTACAAAATAAGTTACAAATAACGCGAAAAAACACACACACAATAGCACAATCGGTTAGGAGCCTGTAAAACGGCAGCCAGCTGTTGTCGAAATAATTGATGATGTGGTGGTCTTACAACATGGCCGCCAGGAGGCGTCATACGTCAACTGCCTGGCAACACTAAAGCCAACTTGGACTTTGTGGCTGTAGAATCTAGTGGAAACCGTTTATCGTCCGCACAAGGCCTTGGAAATCACCACACTAGTTTAAGCACCGCCTTTGCCCAATCCTGATACGTCCAAATAATGGAGGAAAACCCCAAACAAGGAAATACTACCGCTCGTATTCACACAATTCCACGTCGTGAGCCTTGATAGATTCTCGCCGTTTCATCTGTCCACGAGAGATTAATAGCAACTATGTAGCCTACAGGTGCACCAAAATAAGGCCCTCGTGATAATATTCTGCAGACCACTGACCTCGTTGCAATGTAACAAGCTATCCACCTGATGTTACGATAATAGCATAAGGTAGCTACAATTGAAGAGTTTCTTCTGTTTCTGGTCTGCAAAAGTATTTAACTCTTGGCTTGTACAGTCAACTTTGACTTCAGCTAGTTAGCTAGATTGTTGCCATTACCCAGGAACAGCACAGTGCCTGACTGGCGCAGTTTTAGCATTTCTGCTGTGTTGCAGCAGCAGACAAACAAACATTAGCCTATGCTAGCTAACGTTCGCTAGTAACTCAGCTACCTAGTTAACTACCTAGCTAACGTTGGCCGGTGAAAGTATATTTTAAAACCCTGGTGAAATTGGCAAGATATCCCTTACTAACTGCTCAATAACTATCTCCTGCGAAGAATGGACTGACAGCTTGATAAGGTTAGCTTAGCACAACTATGGCTAGCTAACTGGTAAACATCAACACTCAATGGCTAGCTTACGTTAGTTAGTTTCTTACCTGTGGTTGGACTGTTGTTGACAAGGAAAACATTTCCAATATCACTTTCAGACAGGCCAACAAACGTGTTTCAACGCTCCTTTCCGAATTGTCCTTGCCCTTGTTTCTCTGTCTGCGTTCGTTTAGCTAACGTTACTGAAACTCATGTTCAGTGTGCGATCCACTCAGTTAGCTCGTGAAGTTCGCAAGAGGAAAGCTGCTAACAAATTTTAAAGGTCAACCGGATATTTTTAATTTTTGACAACCGGAGTAAGTTAGCTGGCTAAATGCTTAAAGAAACAACCCTTAAGGGATTGCATACATCATTGGTCGCTTTTCATAAAGTATGGGTCTGGTTGGTCACGACCAATGATGTATGCAAACCATAGACAGTAAAAAATATAAAACCTGGATTGCTGATGCTATGTATTTGCCAATGAGAGTCCTCTATAGGAATCAATGGAATTCTACAGTATTTCAATTAAATATGCACTAGGCAGAAATCACTCCGCCATTTCCTGGTTGCTAATATTCGAATGGTTTGCCTAATTTCAGTTTATGTGACAAAACATTATACAAGTATAATGTAGAGAATCATTGTACCATCTAAACCACTGTGAAATATATTTTCCATAACCAAAAATATTGTATTTTCAGCTTGTTGGAAGCTGGTGTACAACACCAAAAGTAAAAGATGCAAAAACTAAACTTAAGAACAGGATGCATATAAATAACGCACATAGAACAGATCTGCTGCTTCTTAGACCTGCTTTCAATGAGAATTACAGACCTTTCTATGTGAATTTGGTTGGGATCGCCCAAAAAGTTACATATAGCAGCTTTAAGGGTGACTCTGGCTATCTACTCCGATTTCAGAGCACTCTTGTCTGAGTGTGCCAGAGTGCAGAATAAGTGATGAATTTACAAATGTGCAACACCCGTTGAATATGACCAGTCAGTAAACGTTGCCAAAAAAACGTTATTAAATTGTTGCCAGCAGCACAGTTACAGTCACGAATGCTTTAGATAACACGAAAACTCTGCTAGGGCGAGTATACCGGTCAGAGTGAGATGTTCTCTCATTTGGGTGTGGAAGTAGCTAGCAAGCTAGCCAATGTTAAGCCAGTTAGCTTGGGTGCTTGACTGCTGTTGTGAGATCAGAACGCTTGGATCAACCCTACTTCTCGGCCAGAGCGTCCAGTGTGCGCTCTGAACATTCCGAGAGCTCAGAATTTATGAACAGACAATCTGACAAAGCTCTGAATTTATGAATGACCCAGAGCGCACTCTGACACACTGGAGGCAATTTATGAACACACCCTAAATGGTATGAATAAAATACCATGTATTTAAGTATTTTGTTGTTGTAGTGGGGACAGTAACATTAGTACAAAAAAAAAAATCTTTAAAGAAAATGTTTTAATATATTTCCTTTTATTTAGCACACATAATATAATTTAAAAGTATGCATTAAGGTGTCTTATACAATAAACGTAAATTTTAGGTCCTGTACTTTTTACAGTCTATACAAAAAATATACATGCATGTAATATATATATATATATATATATACAGTGGGGTGAAAAAAAGTATTTAGTCAGCCACCAATTGTGCAAGTTCTCCCACTTAAAAAGATGAGAGAGGCCTTTAATTTTCATCATAGGTACACGTCAACTATGACAGACAAATTGAGAATGTTATCAGTATAAAAGACACCTGTCCACAACCTCAAACAGTCACACTCCAAACTCCACTATGGCCAAGGCCAAAGAGCTGGGAAGACTGAATCTGCAATAGGTAAGCAGCTTGGTTTGAAGAAATCAACTGTGGGAGCAATTATTAGGAAATGGAAGACATACAAGACCACTGATAATCTCCCTCGATCTGGGGCTCAACGCAAGATCTCACCCCATGGGGTCAAAATGATCACAAGAACGGTGAGCAAAAATCCCAGAACCACACGGGGGGACCTAGTGAATGACCTGCAGAGAACTGGGACCAAAGTAACAAAGCCTACCATCAGTAACACACTACGCCGCCAGGGACTCAAATCCTGCAGTGCCAGACGTGTCCCCCTGCTTAAGCCAGTACATGTCCAGGCCCGTCTGAAGTTTGCTAGAGTGCATTTGGATGATCCAGAAGAGGATTGGGAGAATGTCATATGGTCAGATGAAACCAAAATAGAACTTTTTGGTAAAAACTCAACTCGTCGTGTTTGGAGAACAAAGAATGCTGAGTTGCATCCAAAGAACACCATACCTACTGTGAAGCATGGGGGTGGAAACATCATGCTTTGGGGCTGTTTTTCTGCAAAGGGACCAGGACGACTGATCCGTGTAAAGGAACGAATGAATGGGGCCATGCATCGTGAGATTTTGAGTGAAAACCTCCTTCCATCAGCAAGGGCATTGAAGATGAAACGTGGCTGGGTCTTTCAGCATGACAATGATCCCAAACACACCGCCCGGGCAACGAAGGAGTGGCTTCGTAAAAAGCATTTCAAGGTCCTGGAGTGGCCTAGCCAGTCTCCAGATCTCAACCCCATAGAAAATCTTTGGAGGGAGTTGAAAGTCCGTGTTGCCCAGCGACAGCCCCAAAACATCACTGCTCTAGAGGAGATCTGCATGGAGGAATGGGCCAAAATACCAGCAACAGTGTGTGAAAACCTTGTGAAGACTTACAGAAAACATTGCCAACAAAGGGTATATAACAAAGTATTGAGAAACTTTTGTTATTGACCAAATACTTATTTTCCACCATAATTTGCTACTACAATGTGATTTTCTGGATTATTTTTTCTCATTTTGTCTGTCATAGTTGACGTGTACCTATGATGAAAATTACAGGCCTCTCTCATCTTTTTAAGTGGGAGAACTTGCACAATTGGTGACTGACTAAATACTTTTTTCCCCCACTGTGTGTATATATATATATATATATATATATATATTATATATATATATATATTATATATATATATATATATATATATATATATATGCAGATGACACTGGTGTTTATGCTATTGCCACCACTGTTGAGCATGCTCTTTCAGAGCTACAATCTGCCTTAATTGCATTGCAGAAAGCCTTTGTCTCAAGGCTTAATAATCTTTTTTTAACCTGTCTCCTCCCCTTCACTACACTGATTGAAGTGGATTTTACAAGTGACATCAATAAGCGATCATAGCTTTCACCTGGTCAGTCTATGTCATGGAAAGAGCAGTTGTTCTTAATGTTTTGTATACTCAGTGTGTTATTTTCCAAAACGTGAAAATATGTATCTGATGATGCATACTGTATGTATGAATATGTAAATTAGGAGGTGCCCACATTGATCGTGTCCCTGTTTATAAATATCTGGGCATCTGGATTGATGAAAAGCTATCTTTCAAAACACATATTGATGAGTTAAGAATTCAAATGGGCTTCCTTTATAGGAATAGGCCATGCCTTTCATTAAATAGCAGAAAACAAATCAGTCGACATTCATAGCGGTTATCGATTATGCTGATATTGTTTATATGAATGCAGCAGCCACTGTATTGAAGCCATTGGATGCAGTTTATCATAGAGCACTATGTTTTATTACGTGTGACAGGTTCAGTACACATCAATGCTTTCTGTATCAGAAAGTAGGCTGTTCCTCTTTGTTTATAAAGCCCTCTTGTACAAACTTTCACCTTGCCTTCCTTCATTGTTCACCTACAGATGTACAAGCTACCTGTCGACCACCTGTCAAAATAAATGTAAAATAAAAACTTGTGATGCAGCTAGGGTTTTAGACCGTACTGTGATACAGTCAGGATTTAAAGTTGTATCTATGGTTTTTAGACATTGATCTCACCTGTAATGTGGTCAGGGCCTCCAGAGTGTTCACCCTCTGAAGCATGTTAGTCATGTCCTCCTGCAGCCTTGTCAGCGCCACGGCAATGTGCTCATTAAGGTTACCAGCGGCAACAGCCTCAGTCCTGCTTTGCATAACCCAGCGCTCTGCTGCATTTCCATTGGTACAAAGCTGTGACCCGGAACCTAGCCCTAATGACCTGAAACCTATACAACAAACAATAGGCAGTGAGCCATCATTACTCTATGGACTTTAGGGCCTGTATTCACAAAACGTCATACGTTAGAGTAGAAGTGCAGATCTAGGATCACTTTGGCCTTTCATGTAGATTAGAATGAATGGAAGTTTTATAAATACCAGCCCAGAAGCACAGAAGAAAGATTTCAACTTAATCAAGGGATCAAATGTTACTGATTGTATTTTCTAAATAACTTAAACAAATGAGAAAATGTCTACAGACCCACCTATTCCACTCATTGACCAGCAACTGTCACGTCGTTCGGTATGAAGTCCCTCCCTGCGAGGGGAGTTTTCCTCATGTCCTCCTCATCCAGGGCTATCTTAGTGTCTCTCTGAAAACTCCTCCTCTTAGTCTGACTTGCCTTTGTCCCGGAGAAGTGTACCCTGGGTACTCCCTATTACTGTGGAGACAACTAGGGCTGTGGCGTTCATGAAATAGTGTCAGCCAGTAACCGTCATGCAAATAGCTGTCGTTCTCATGGTAATTGACCGTTAATGAACATAAACACGTTGAGCATCTTCGGGCAAACACATGTCGCCTACAAGCCACTGATGCGGAACATTTACATTTTAAAAAGTCGAATAAATCAATTTAATATAGCCTACACCATCACAATAAATCCATTATTTATTTTAGGCAGGTCTAAAGAAACATGATATGAAGAAAATGTAGCGTATTTCAGAAGAAAAGAATAGCATACAGTGCCTTACAAAAGTATTCATCCCCCTTGGCGTTTTTCCTATTTTGTTGCATTACAACCTGTAATTTAAATTGATTTTTATTTGGATTTCATGTAATGGACATGTACAAAAGTCAAAATTGGTGAAATGGAATGAAAAAAATAACTTGTTTCAAAAAAAATAAAATAATGGAAAGGTGGTGCATGCATATGTATTGAAGCCCCTAAATAAGATCTGGTGCAACCAATTACCTTCAGAAACCAATTACCTTCAGAAGTCACATAATTAGTTAAATAAAGTCCACCGTGTGTAATCTAAGTGTCACATGATCTGTCACATGATCTCAGTATATATATATATATATACACACACACACACACACACCTGTTCTGAAAGGCCCCAGAGTCTGCAACACCACTAAGCAAGGGGTACCACCAAGCAAGCGGCACCATGAAGACCAAGGAGCTCTCCAAACAGGTCAGGGACAAAGTTGTGGAGAAGTACAGATCAGGGTTGGGTTATAAAAAAATATCCGAAACTGTGAACATCCCACGGAGCACCATTAAATCCATTATTAAAAAATGGAAAGAATATGGCACCACAACAAACCTGCCAAGAGAAGGCCGCCCACCAAAACTCACGGACCAGGCAAGGAGGGCATTAATCAGAGAGGCAACAAAGAGATCAAAGATAACCCAATGGTGGCAGGGGCAGCAGGTAGCTTAGTGGTTAAGAGCGTTGTGCCACTAACCGAAAGGTCGCTGGTTCTAATCCCCGAGCTGACTAGGTGAAATATCTGTCGATGTGCCCTTGAGCAAGGCACTTAACCCTAATTGCTCTGGATAAGAGCGTATGCTAAATGACGTAAATGTAAATAACCCTGAAGAAGCTCCACAGCGGAGATGCGCGCTCAAGTTTTCTGTTTTTTTTCTTCTTATATTTTCCATCTTCAAAGTGGTAGGCATGTTGTGTAAATCAAATGATACAAAACCCCAAAAAATCCATTTTAATTCCAGGTTGTAAGGCAACTAAATTGGAATAATGCCAAGGGGGGTGAGCGCTGTCAGGTTGGATGGGGAGCGTCGCTCCACAGGTATTTTCAGGTCTCTCCAGAGATGTTCGATTTGGTTCAAGTCCGGGCTCTGGCTGGGCCACTGAAGGACATTCAAAGACTTGTCCCGTAGCCACTACTGCGTTGTCTTGGCTGTGTGCTTAGGGTCGTTGTCCTGTTGGAAGGTGAACCTTCACCCCAGTCTGAGGTCCTGAGCGCTCCGGAGCAGGTTTTCATCAAAGATCTCTCTGTACTTTGCTCCGTTCATCTTTCCCTCAATCCTGACTAGTCTCCCAGTCCCTGCTGCTGAAAAACATCCCCACAGCAGGATGCTGCCACCAACATGATTCACCGTAGTGATGGTGACAGGTTTCCTCCAGACGTGACCGTTGGCATTCAGGCCACAGAGTTCAACCTTGGTTTCATCAGACCAGAGAATCTTGTTTCTCATGGTCTGAGAGTCCTTTAGGTGCCTTTTGGCAAACTCCAAGTGGGCTGTCATGTGCCTTTTACTGAGGAGTGGCTTCCGTCTGGCCACTCTGCCATAAATACCTTATTGGTGGAGTGCTGCAGAGATGGTTGTCCTTCTGGAAGGTTCTACATCTCCACAGAGGAACTCTAGAGCTCTGTCAGAGTTACCATTGGGTTCTTGGTCACCCCCCTGACCATGGCCCTTCTACCCCGATTGTATCAGTTTGGCCGGGTGGCCAGCTCTAGGAAGAGTCTTGGTGGTTCCAAACTTCTTCCATTTAAGAATGATGGAGGCCAATGTGTTCTTGGGGACCTTCAATGCTGCAGACATTTTTGGGTAGCCTTCCCCAGATCTGTGCCTCGACACAATCCTGTCTCTGATCTCTACGGACAATTCCTTCGACACCATGGCTTGGTTTTTGCTCTGACATGCACTGTCAACTGTGGGACCTTATATAGACAGGTGTGTGCCTTTCCAAATCATGTCCAATCAATTGAATTTACCACAGGTGGACTCCAATCAAGTTGTAGAAACATCTCAATTTCGAGTCTCATAGCAAAGGGTCTGAATACTTATGTAAATAAGGTGTTTCAGTTCTTTTTTTATATACATTTGCCAAACTTTCTAAAAATCAGTTTTCACTTTGTCATTATGGGATATTGTGTGTAAATCGATGATATAAAAAAAATGGCTGTAATCTAAAAAAATGTGGAAAAAGTCAAGGGGTCTGAATACCTTCCGAATGCACTGTATGTTGATGTTGGGGTGGTGCTAGACATTATGAATATGAGGTTATATATATTTTTCTATGTTCCCTTAATGTAGAGTTATTTATGCAACTTTAGTTGTGATATAAACCTTAGGCTATATGTTTTGATTTCTAATACATTCTAAGGTCTGCAAATAATGATGATTGGAAAAACGTTGCATGAAAGGCATGCGCTCTGCTCTGTTTCTTACGCAGGCTGCACACACTTCATCAACCTCTCATTCACAATTTGACAAGCACTTGATAATATTCTCATCCATCAGACTATTCTCAATTTAATCTGGTCTTTACATAAAGCCTTCTAATTGTGCCTTCAGAAAGTATTCACACCCCTTGACTTTTTCCACATTTTGTTGTGTTACAGCTTGAATTTAAAATTAATTAAATGTAGATTTTGTGTCACTGGCCTACACTAAAATACCCCATAATGTCAAAGTGGAATTATGTTTATAGAAATGTTTACAAATTAATTCAAAATGAAAAGCTGAAATGTCTTGTGTCAATAATTATTCAACCCCTTTGTTATGACAAGCCGAAATAAGTTCAGGAATAAAAATTAGCTTAACAAGTCACATAAGTTGCATGGACTCACTGTGTGCAATAATAGTGTTTAACATGATTTTTCAATGACTACCTCATCTCTGTACCCCACACATACAATTATCTGTAAGGTCCCTCAGTCGAGCAGTGAATTTCAAACACAGATTCAACCACAAAGACCAGGGATGTTTTCCAATGCCTCGCAAAGAAGGGCACTTATTGGTAGATGGGTAAAAAATAAATAAAAAAACAGACATTGAATATCCCTTTGAGCATGGTGAATGTAGCAAAGAAAATGTAGCAAAGAAATGTACTTTATGTCCTAAATACAAAGCGTTATGTTTGGGGCAAATCCAACACAACACGTCACTTGAGTACCACTGAGTTTTTTTTGGGATAAAAATAAAACGGAATAGAGCTAAACACAGGCAAAATCCTAGAGGAAAACCTGGTTCAGTCTGCTTTCCAACAGACACTGGGAGACAAATCCACCTTTCAGGAAGACAATAACACAAGACCAAATATACACTGGAGTTGCTTACCAAGATGACAGTGAATGTTCCTGAGTGGCCTAGTTACAGTTTTGACTTAAATTGGCTTGAAAATCTATGGCAAGACTTGAAAATGGCTGTCTAGCAAAGCATATATTTTTTTAGAATGGCCCACAAAAGAAAAACGTTATCCGTAGCGCAATTAGACAATGACTGGGCTTATAAGAACACGTTTCACTAGGCTCTGTAGGCTATGGGCTCTCCAACCCTGTTCCAGGGGTCATAGGCCTATAGGCTATGCTTAGAGTTATTTGGCCACTTTAGTTGTGATACAAACCTTAAGCAATAAGGCCCGAGGGGGTGTGGTATATTGCCACGGCTAAGGGCTGTTCTTACGCACGACGCAACGCACCACAAACCCCTGAGGTGCCTTATTGCTATTATAAACTGGTTACCAACGTAATTAGAGCAGTAAAAATAAATGTTTTGTCATACCCGTGGCTGTATGACAATCAACACTCAGGGCTCAAACCACCCAGTTTATAATAAATAATATATGTGTGAAATTAGTTTTGATTTAGAATGGGCCACTATCATGCACCTGTCGGAACAGATTTTTTTTAAATGATGTCATCCATATGCACTTGAATAGCGAATGGAGGACGGTTTTCCCGCTGTTAATTTTCATGCCAGCCAGGTAGGCTACTCCGGTTGTAAAGCGAAGCAATGTACTTAATATATGGAAAGTTGAGAAATAAATATAGTAGGCCTAGAAAGCTGATGGGCCATCAAAACTCTGTTTTCTCACGCAACTGCATAGCATATAGAAATGTTGCGCAACATGGGCTTATAGGAACACATTTTATTCCATGCATCAACCACATTTACCAGACGCTCTTATCCAGAGCGACTTACAGGAGCAATTAGGGTTAAGTGCCTTGCTCAAGGGCACATCGACAGATTTTTCACCTAGTCGGTTCAGGGATTAGAACCAGCGACCTTTCGGTTACTGGCACAACGCTCTTAACCACTAAGCTACCTGCTGCCCATGAGAAGCTGGCTCTCGCTGTGCAACAGGTGATCCTATTCCAATCAAACTCTGATATGAAAGCCATAAAATGTTTCATTTGATTGTCGATTGCATTTGCATCGATGTCAGCATTATTAGAGGGACAATAGAGCGCTGAGTACCAGGCTATTAGCGACTGGCTGTTAGCAAGTTTGGTAGGTTACTAATGACCATCAGAGAGCAGTTTTGGAGAAGCCTAGTTACCGTGACTCAATGTGCTGGAGCAAGCACACAAAGTTTCTTCAAAAAGAAAAACTTACCTCCTCCATGGCTAAATATTCCATTGACTCACAGAATTCTTTGTTGTCCGAGTCGTTGGCTTGAAGACGCTCCGTGTGGAGGGGGGTAAGCACACCATATCATTGTCAGATTATTGACAAATCAAGCCTCGATCCGTATATCACAGCGTTTCCAAAACTCGGTCCTCGGGACCCCAAGGGGTGCACGTTTTGGTTTTTGCCCTAACACTACACAGCTGATTGAAATGATCAAAGCTTGATGATTAGTTGATTATTGCAATCAGCTGTGTAGTGTCAGGGCAAAAAACAAAATGTGCACCCCTTGGGGTCCCAAGGACAGAGTTTGGGAAACCCTGGTACATCAGGTGTACAGCTCCAGTCCTTGTGGGGTACAGACCTCCAGATCTTTGTTCTTGCATTTTTATTAAGGACTGATTCTACCTGAGAAAGCGGGTGTGTTCTCTCCAGCCAATCAGTAACATGAAGAAATGAAAACCAGCAGGACTGTGTACCCCTGGATAGACCATGTTTATGCAAAGCACTTATCCAGAGTGGTGTGCACACAGGTCAGGTAATCCAAACTCCAGCTGACTGCTGAGATGTCTTTTCATATGCCTGTACCGGCTCTCGTATTATGGCTCTTAAATACCTACAGAAAGGGTCCTACTAACCCAGCTACTGGAAGTGTTTATGGTGGTGGGTCTAAGGTGTCTGTTCATATACCTGTTCCGGTATAGGTGCTCTCAAATACCTACACTTGGATCCTATTAACCCACCTACTGGGGGCATTTATGGTGGTTCTTACCACTGAGGTGTCCATTCAGATGCCTCTAGCGGTTCTCCGGTAGGGGCTCTTTTGAGTAGGCCAGTTCCTCCTCCTCCTCCTCCACCCCTATTGAGGGAGCTGTGTGTCCCGTTGGTCATGGAGGAGACGCTGGGCTCCACTGCAGTTAGACGAGCTGACCTCTGACCGCCACCTGGGTTCCTCCACCCTGAGCAGACTGTCAGGGCCTGTGGCCTTTTTCTCTAATGGACAGTATGACATAAGATCTGTTTCAATATCTAAACTAAAACTAAACTATACTAAACTATAGCTAATCTAAGTAGAAATACTCGTATCTTATATCACCGATGCATCCAGACTACTTTATAGGTTTCCATTACATGAGGTAATTTGGTAATTTGGGTCAACTATCCCTTTAATTGTCACCATAGACAACAGTCCACTCATCATCTCTCTTCCTTCATCAGAACAGGTTAATAATAATAATAACATGCCATTTAGCAGATTGCTGATTACAAGGTGAGGATGACATGAGTTCACACTGTGGACCCTTGGGGAGTGGAGTTCAGCACCTATGACCACACAAACACTTGCCTTCCATCTTTGGTTTCTGGATATACCCTCTTTGTATTTGCATTTCCACTGAACAAAAATACAAAAAAGTAACAGATATTCGTCCAAGGGCCTTCTCTGCTAGAAGCAAGATATCCAGCTTCCTCAAATATGCTAAACCCTCCACTACTTGAGGTGGAATTTCTAGACTAGTGACTATTTATAGACAATGAGAGTGGTTGATTAATAATCAATAAACAAATAATTGAACAACTGTACTCTTACATGTGTTGGGGTATTGTAGTGTTGTGTTCAGTCAAACTGAGGTGTGTAGTTCTGCAGTGCTCAAAACAGCATACATTTTTAACAGGCACCTGCAGCTACTGTGAAAGGCTTGCTGTAGGCCCTCTTGGTGGCACGACGACCAGGCTGAGGAGTAGAAAAGGAAAAGGTCTTAGTGGGATCCAGGATACGCTGCAACGTCTCAATTTGCTTACTCTGGATGTCCAGCTCAGACATACACTACCGGTCAAAAGTTTAGAACACATACTCATTCAAGGGTTTTTCTTTATTTGTACTATTTTCTACATTGTAACTACATCAAAACTATGAAATAACACATATGGAATCATGTAGTAACTAAATAAGTGTTAAACAAATCAAAATATATTTGAGATTTGAGATTCTTCAAATAGCCACCTTTTGCCTTGATGACAGCTTTGCACACGCTTGGCATTCTCTCAACCAGCTTCACCTGGAATGCTTTTCCAACAGTCTTGAAGGAGTTCCCACATATGCTGAGCACTTGTTGGCTGCTTTTCCTTCACTCTGCGGTCCGACTCATCCCAAACCATCTCAATTTGGTTGAGGTCGGGGGATTGTGGAGGCCAGATCATCTGATGCAGCACTCCATCACTCTCCTTCTTAGTAAAATGGCCCTTACACAGCCTGGAAGTGTGTTTGGTCATTGTCCTGTTGAAAAACAAATTATAGTCCCACTAAGCCCAAACCAGATGGGATGGCGTATCGCTGCAGAATGCTGTGGTAGCCATGCTGGTTAAGTGTGCCTTGAATTCTAAATACATCACAGACAGTGTCACCAGCAAAGCACCCCCACACCATAACACCTCCTTCTACAAACTTCACTGTGGGAAATACACATGCGGAGATCATCCGTTCACCCACACCGCGTCTCACGAAGACACGGCGGTTGGAACCAAAAATCTCCAATTTGGACAGATTTCCACCGGTCTAATGTCCATTGCTCGTGTTTCTTGGCCCAAGCAAGTCTCTTCTTATTATTGGTGTTCTTCAGTAGTGGTTTCTTTGCAGCAATTCAACCATGAATGCCTGATTCACACAGTCTCCTCTGAACAGTTGATGTTGAGATGTGTCTGTTACTTGAACTCTGTGAAGCATTTATTTGGGCTGCAATTTCTGGGGCTGGTAACTCTAATGAACTTATCCTCTGCAGCAGAGGTAACTCTGGGTCTTCCATTCCTGTGGCGGTCCTCATGAGAGCCAGTTTCATCATAGCGCTTGATGGTTTTTGCGACTGCACTTGAAGAAACTTTCAAAGTTCTTGACAGTTTCTGTATTGACTGACCTTCATGTCTTAAAGTAATGATGGACTGTAGTTTCTCTTTGCTTATTTGAGCTGTTCTTGCCATAATATGAAGTTGGTCTTTTACCAAATAGGGCAATCTTCACAACACAACTGATTGGCTCAAACGCATTAAGAAGGAAATAAATTCCACAAATTAACTTTTAAGAAGGCACACCTGTTAATTGAAATGCATTCCAGGTGACTACCTCATGAAGCTGGTTGAGAGAATGCCAAGAGTGTGCAAAGCTGTCATCAAGGCAAAGGGTGTCTATTTGAAGAATCTCAAATCTCAAATATATTTTGATTTGTTTAACACTTATTTAGTTACTACATGATTCCATATGTGTTATTTCATAGTTTTGATGTAGTTACAATGTAGAAAATAGTACAAATAAAGAAAAACCCTTGAATGAGTATGTGTTCTAAACTTTTGACCGGTAATTTATGTCTGAGCTGGACATCCAGAGTAAGCAAATTGAGACGTTGCAGCGTATCCTGGATCCCACTAAGACCTTTTCCTTTTCTACTCCTCAGCCTGGTCGTCGTGCCACTGCCTCGCCACCTTGTTGCCACTCCCTGACTGACTGGCCAGAGCTGCCCTGCAGAGACCCCTTCCTAGTGAAGTCACCTCTCCCCTCCCATCTCACCTGCCCTCCCCATCCTACCCCGACCTCCTATCCCGGCCCCCCCCTCCCCACCCTCCTCAGAGAATAAAGGAGCTAGGACGCTTTGAGGAGCTGGCGGATGCCACAGTTATCGATCCTGCATACCAGTGGAGGCACGTCACACACCGTAAGCCCAGCGCAAGGCAGCGGTCTTTGGTGAATGGGGCTGAAATGGCTTTGGGGTATCCCATCCTGCTGACCAACAGTTTCGCCCACCTGCTTCCAGAGATTCCTGCTCCTTCATCCTCTACCCTGTCTACCACCACCAGCTCTGGTCCATCGTGCCCCACCGCCCTTCGGCCCTGAAGGGGTCTTTTAAACCACTCGAGGCGAAAGAATGGCCGGACTTCCCCGGCTGCTTCCCCAGCTGTCATTATCGGCAGCTCTATAGTGAGAAACATCTCGGTTCCCAGTGCAAAAACCCAGTGCTACCCAGAAGCATGAGTACAGGACATTACAAGGCTGCTTCCGACCATTCTACGACAGATGCCAGGAGCTGACGCTGTCGTAGTCCATGTGGGGTCAAACGACATCAGGAGGGATAGCTCGCAACTTCTGAAAATTGATTTTAAAGAACTGATTCTAACATTGAAAGATTCCAAAAAGCGGCTAATCATTTCAGGTCCGGTACCATCGTTGGGCCGCGGGTGTGAAAGATTCAGCAGGCTACTGGCATTACACATCTGGCTAAAAGATTACTTTAGCTCTGCTGAAATCACTTTTATAGATAACTTTGATACCTTCTGGAAACAGAAGATACTCTACAGGAATGACGGAGTCCATCCAAATAATCTTGGCTCCTGGACTCTGTCCACGCATTTCAAGACTGCGTTAAGACAATGACTTCTCAATGACCAAAGACCAGCTCAGTTCATCCCTACCATTGTGACAATGAGTTGTCATAATGCTGCATCAAATGTACATTATCCCAAGGGCTTTGGCAGACACAATGTAAGTAACTTAATTGATGTCCCCCTAACTGCCCTGAATACCTCTGTTGATCCTACAGCTATTGTATGCAGTAATCATGTGCCTATGAACCAGAGTTACACTGTTAGCACAGAGGCGGTGTGCCCTAGTAGGAAGTCCACTGTGTGCAGCTCACCCTGCACTATCAGCTCCAATATAAATAACATGAGCAAGTCTACTTCTGATAAGCTTCCCAGTAAAGCATTAGAAACAATAAAGCAACCCAGAAAAGTGCTAAAAATAGCCCATATTAACATATGTAGCCTAAGAAACAAGGTTAATGAAGTCAATAACTTTCTTGTAACAGATTACATTCATATTCTGACTATCTCTGAAACTCACTTAGATAATACCTTTGATGATACAGTGGTAGCAATACATGGCTATAACATCTGCCGAAAATACAGAAATGCCAACGGGGGCAGTGTTGCGGTCTATTTTCAGAACCACATTCCTGTAAAGCTTAGCGAGGATCTCATGTTAAATACTGTTGAAGTAATATGGCTACAGGTTCATCTGCCTCACCTAAAGCCCATTCTTGTGGGAAGCTGCTATAGATGGATTGATGAAGAATTGAAAAATGGTATGGTTGAGAGGGATGAGGCAAAAGGTACAGTGGGGGAAAAAAGTATTTAGTCAGCCACCAATTGTGCAAGTTCTCCCACTTAAAAAGATGAGAGAGGCCTGTAATTTTCATCATAGGCACACGTCAACTATGACAGACAAAATGAGAAAATAAATTCCAGAAAATCACATTGTAGGATTTTTTATGAATTTATTTGCAAATTATGGTGGAAAATAAGTATTTGGTCAATAACAAAAGTTTCTCAATACTTTGTTATATGCCCTTTGTTGGCAATGACACAGGTCAAACGTTTTCTGTAAGTCTTCACAAGGTTTTCACACACTGTTGCTGTTATTTTGGCCCATTCCTCCATGCAGATCTCCTCTAGAGCAGTGATGTTTTGGGGCTGTCGCTGGGCAACACGGACTTTCAACTCCCTCCAAAGATTTTCTATGGGGTTGAGATCTGGAGACTGGCTAGGCCACTCCAGGACCTTGAAATGCTTCTTACGAAGCCACTCCTTTATTGCCCGGGCGGTGTGTTTGGGATCATTGTCACGCTGAAAGACCCAGCCACGTTTCATCTTCAATGCCCTTGCTGATGGAAGGAGGTTTTCACTCAAAATCTCACGAGACATGGCCCCATTCATTATTTCCTTTACACGGATCAGTCGTCCTGGTCCCTTTACAGAAAAACAGCCCCAAAGCATGATGTTTCCACCCCCATGCTTCACAGTAGGTATGGTGTTCTTTGGATGCAACTCAGCATTCTTTGTCCTCCAAA